GAACTCTGTCATAGTCTTCTGCCCTTGATGTTTGTGTAGAATGTTTCTGACAACTGTTTGGGGCAACAGTGAAGTCTAGGAATTAATTGTAAACTGAACTCAGCTTGGGTTCACATCTTTGTTTCTTCATTTGCTGTGTGACTTTGAGTAAGTTGCCTCATCCCTATGTGCCTCAGTTTCCCTGTCTTAAAAAGCAGGTCAATGACAATGCCTAAGTCATGAGGCTGTTGTGACCTGTATATAGATTGTTGGTGATTGTTGGTTAAGGGGTAAATCTCATTATTATATGTTTGATCTACTCCATCAGACGAGAGGCTCCCTGGGGCAAGACTATGAGAGTGGATGCTCCCTGAGGACAGAACTCTCTCTTCATTGGAGTTGAGCTCTTTTTCTATCTTTTCTCTAAGAAGTATAGCCTGAGTCAGCAGAAATTTGACTCAGATCCAAGTAAGAAAATTAGTGAGACTTTCTGATCAAGAAGCCAGTGGGAGAGCGGGCTGGGAAAGACCGAAAGGTGGTGTGGATTTTCTTCATCTGTGCATCAGGTGGAGTGTCTTCCCAGCCCTCAGGATGCACGCAGACAAGGATTCTGGCAGAGAGAAGCTTTAGTTTTCTGTGCAAGCTCTAGCCTGGGAAAGAGCAGAGAAGGAGGATTGAATTCGTCTTTGGGAGGCTTCTTGTAGAAGCTCCCAGTATGCAAGGAGGCAGCAGTCAGGTGGAGGAACCAGTGACCAGTGCTGGTACTCCACATCTTAGGTTCCGGGCCTCCCTTTCCTTTTTCTCTTTTTTTTTTGGGGGGGGGGGCAGAGTTTGAGATAGAGTCCGATTACCCAGGCTATCCTTGAACTTGTAGCAATCCTCCTGTTTCAGCCTTCTGAGTGTTGGGATTATAGGTGTGAGTCACCAGGCCTGGCTAAAATGGTTGTTTTATGGTGTTGGGAATTGAGCCCAGGACCTCATGCGTGTTAGGCAACAAGCACTGTTGTCATTGAACTGCGTCTCCCATTCCCAAGACCCTTTTTCATGTTGCCTCATGTTTTCTTTTAAACCATTCTGTGGGAGTGAACCCAATTATTTTCTCTCTTTCTTCAGTGATGAAAATAATCATTCAAAATGTTAAATGGGGGCTGGAGAGATGGCTCATCAGTTAAGAGCACTGGCTCATCTCGAAGAGGACCTGGGTTTGGTTCCCAGCATCCACATGGCAGCTAACAACCATTGTAACGCCTGTTCCACAGGATCTGACGTTCTGATCTACAGGTACCAGACACTCACGGGGTGCACTTATACACATGGAGGCAAAATACTCATACACATAAAAGTAAATGAAATCTTGGGGCTGGAGAGATGGCTCAGCAGTTAAGAGCACTGACTGCTCTTGCAGAGGACCCAGGTTCAATTCCCAGCACCCACATGGCAGCTATGAACCGTCCTTAACTCCAGTTCCAGGGGAATCTGAAGCCCTCTTCTGACATTTGCGGCATTGCACGACATGGGTGCACTCACATGCAGGCCACATAAAATAAAAATAATAAATAAAATTATTAAAAAAGTAAATGGAACCTTAAAAAAAAAAAGTTAAGTGTCAGCCAGGACTGCATAGTGAGATCCTGTCAAAGGATGAGGAGGAGAAGGAGAAGGCAGAGGGGCAAGAGGAAGAGGAGGAAGAGAAGGAGGAGGAGGAGGGGGATTATTTATAGTGTGTAGTGGAGATTTTAGCTGGGCATGTGGTACACATCTTTAATCTTAGCACTCAGGAGGCATGCAGAGCTCTGTGAGACTGAGACCAGTCTGATCTACATAGGGAATTCCAGGCCAGTCAGGGCTACATAATGAGACCCTGTCTCAAAAAAAAAAAAAAAGTGGCAGATTACACAGCTTTGTTTTTTGTTTTTGGGGGGGGTGTTGGGGGGGACAGAGTCTTCCTTGTAGCCCCAGCTGGCCTGGAACTCACTCTGTAGATAGACTAGGACTGGCCTTAGTTTCATAGAAATCAGCCTGCCTCTGCCTCCTGGGTGCTGGGATTAAAGGTACTCACCACCACACCTGGCCAATCACACAGTTCTTTTAAAAAGATATTTTATTATTTTTATTTTATGTGTATGAGTGTTTTACTTGCATGTATGTAAAATGCACCTGTGTTGTGCAATGCCCATGGAGGTCAGAAGAGGGCGTTGGATCCCCTGGAAATGGAGTTACAGATAGTTGTTAGCTGTTATGTGGGTGCTAAGAATTGAACCCAGGTTCTCTGTAAGAGCAGCCAGTGTGCTTAGCTACTGAGCCATCTCTCCAGCCCCAGTCACACAGTTCTTACAGGGCTGGGCTGCAACTTAAACCCAGATGCTCTGATTTCAGCTCTCATGCCTTTTATATACTCCCTGGCCCAGATACTACTGGTTGAGGGCACACTATACCCTGAGAGTTTCTAGGTCAGAGGCTCTCCAGTCATATGAGGGAAGTTATTGTTCCCAGCAAGAGAGGGGTAGGAGGGACAAAAACTTGGTGTCCACCATGTGCTAGTTTCTTGCTACAAGGTTCCATTCCCTAGACAAGGCCTGAAGTTTAGAGAGTGTAAAGAACTTGCTTCAGGGTCCCTAATGAGGACCAAGTGAAAAGCTGGACTAAGTCTAGTCTAGTCCGAAGATGCTGATGTTTCGCTCTCTAGCACAGAAACATGGCCCCAGGTCACTTATTCAATGAACATTTCTCATGCCCCAGAGGTAGAAGTGACTGTGTGTGCCTCTGGGTCCCATCTAGACTTCTCCCAGGGCACCTGTACATGTCTTAGAAGACTTACTTTGCTTACATACCTGTCTTCCCTCTCCTTGAGGCAGAGTGATCTTGGCCATCTCTGTATCTCCAAGATGGAGCACAGAGGTGAGGAATGATAGGGCTCAGTAAGTGGGTAGTGTGTGAATGGTGGAGAGGTGCCCAGAAGGCCTCATCGTGTTGGTCAGTGATGAGTAGGGCACCAGAAGGTGGACTGGGGGGCTGGATAGTGTGTGAATGGTGGAGAGGTGCCCGGAAGGCCTCATCGTGTTGGTCAGTGATGGGGAGAGCACCAGAAGGTGGACTGGGGGGCTGGATAGTGTGTGAATGGTGGAGAGGTGCCCAAAAGGCCTCATCGTGTTGGTCAGTGATGAGTAGGGCACCAGAAGGTGGACTGGGGGGCTCAGAAGATGCTGTGGTTGAGGTGTGAGCATCTGTCTCACCTGGGAACCTTTCCAAATTGCTCACCTCTGCTGGCACTGACTTCTCCCCAGACTGGCTCAGACCTACACCTTGGGTTTGCTGTCTGGTGGACAAGTTGGGCACTGGGATTCAGAATTGCCCTTCTTGATCTGTTTTATTTCCACAAGAGCTTCAAGAGATGGAATATGTGATGATGACCACCTTTCATTTTACAGTTAGGGACAAATTTAAAGTTCACTCATTAAGTTGGTGGCAGAACTGGGGTCAGTGACAAGGAAGAGGATGGGGTGGGGGTTAGTTTTCTGAATCAGAAAAATGCTGGGCTTCTCCAGAGGAACTTGAGGAACCTGTTCTGTTGGCCCTTCTCCAAGGCAGAAGAGACACGAAGGACCCACTTCATCCTTAAGATGGCTGAGCTAACGGAGTAACCTTATCTGTGGCCCTAACACTTCAAGCCTCCTGCAATCTTAAGCATTGCCAGTAGGTGGCGTCAGCTTGCAACTTTTTGGTTTGTCCTACAGGTCCCGTTCTGGGCCCCTTCTTCCAATCACCCCAACAGTCTGCATTTGCAGAAAGTGGGAGGTGGTTTAACCCCTGGGAGGCTGAAAAGACTCCTGCCCTAGGACTTGAAGCAGGATGTGGGTTTAGGAACTGCTCTTCGGCTTGGGCTGGTCCTTAGCGTTCTAGGCCACCGCCCCCCTCCCCCCCAAATAATCCACCGAGTCTCTTACTGGACAAACACTGAAACTAGTTCCAGGTGTGCAGGAGCCTTGGGGGTGGTGGAAGGGGGAGGGCTGGGGCGACCAGAGAAGGAAGCTAGCGGATGGGTCTCTGTTCCAAATGCTACTCTATGTCTCCTACCAGTTTCAGCAGGATTGCGCCAAGGGTCAGGGATATGGTCACCAAAAGGCTGTCACCAAGGAGGCAAACCAGCCCTTAGGATACCCCAAAAGAGTGGAATCAGGAATTTTATGAAAAGGCATCCCTTTCTGGAAACTCTGACTGCCATCTACTGGGAAACTGTCACAATAACTATATAGATATACGTTTGCTGTATGAGGTAGTGCCCCCTGGAGTTGTTCAGAGCACACCTTGTACTTGGCAAACAGCAATCTCCCAGGCCAGTCTCCCAGAAACGGAGCTAGGCAGATGAAGCAAAAACATCCAGGAGGAAGAGGTTTGGCACTTCTCTGTCTCAGAGTTTTGGGAGGCAGAGTGGAGCAAGGCCCAAATGGGTCCTGGGGGAATCAAGCAGGGGAGTTTTTGTTTTGTTTGGGGTGGGGTGGCAAGTAAGAGGTCTGCTTATTAGCCCTGGGCCTTCCTGTTGCAGAGTGCCTGTTCCGCTTGTCCCACCTCTTTCCGCGGGGTTTCCAGCGGCTGAGACTGGATGCACCGGGCTGGGGTGTAAAGGACTCTGCCCAGGGACACTGAACGCGCGGACCTTGAATCCGCTAGGTTCTCAGTGGGAGAGCCAGGGCCGCCTAGGTGTCTGGGCCGTAATCCTCCGAGGTCAGGGGAGTGGGCCGAGCAGCATCCCCTCGGCTTCCAGTCGCCCTGCCTCCCCTCCCGGGCTCCCATCACCCGCGCTCTGCGCGCCCGCCACCGCTCGAAACCGCGCGTCTTTCTTGGGCGCAAAGGACTTTCAGATGTTGGAGCGGTGGCGGCGACTCGGGACAGCGCCCCCTCCCCCTAAGGGCCGCCTCTCCTTCTCCCTCTCCCACTCGCCCGCCCCGGCTCTCCCACCTCTGGGACGGCGCGGGGGGTGTGGCCAGGAGCCCGTATAAAGTCCAGGGAGCCGGTCCCGGCCCTCCGTTCAGCCCCCTGCCCCCCGCCGCCTGCCGGCCCGGGCCGAGGATGCTGCGCGGCGCCTCAGCGGTCAGGCTCGCTCCGCTCCAGTGCGCTTGCTGACTTCCAGGCTCGGTCCCCGCCTGCCCCGGCCACCGCGTGGTCCCCACGCCCTCGGGGTTTGGTCCAGGCTCTGACACCAGGTCCCGGCCGCTCGCTCCCGACCCCACACACCCCTCCTGCGCCCCGGCCATGCTGCCCTTCGGCCTCGTGGCCGCCCTGCTGCTGGCCGCAGGGCCTCGGCCCAGCCTGGGCGACGAAGCCATCCACTGCCCGCCCTGCTCCGAGGAGAAGCTGGCGCGCTGCCGACCCCCTGTGGGTTGCGAGGAGCTGGTGCGGGAGCCCGGCTGCGGTTGTTGCGCCACTTGCGCCCTGGGTTTGGGAATGCCCTGCGGGGTGTACACCCCTCGTTGCGGCTCAGGCATGCGCTGCTACCCGCCCCGAGGGGTGGAGAAGCCCCTGCACACACTGATGCACGGGCAAGGCGTGTGCATGGAGTTGTCGGAGATCGAGACCATCCAGGAAAGCCTGCCGCCCTCTGGTAAGGTACACCCACCCTTGCCCTCTTGCACCTTCCCCTGTGCTCTCTCCTCCCCAGTGCCTGGTTCTCATTCTGGCGGGCCTGGAAGGGGGGTGAAAACTCCTAGTGAGTTGAGAAGACAGGTACGTGGCAGGGCCAGACACGGCCCAGTCAAGAAAACTGTCTCTGAATCCCAGCACCAGTTGCCACTGGTCAAGGGGAATTTGACCCATCTCATCTCTCTCCATCCCCAATTTCCCAGGTGCCTCTCTAGGAGGAGGGGCCTCAATCTGACTGTTCAGGCAAGTATGAGAAATTAAATGACCAGATCCAGTTAAGTTAGCTGTCTAGAGCCAAAAAACTAACCAGGACGTGTGTGTGTGTGTGTGTGTGTGTGTGTGTGTGTGTAGGGCACCTTTCTGTTCTAGGTCCAAGGCGTGGTCTCAGGTGAAACTCAAATGTTTGAGGTGCCAGGGCCTGGATTTTCCACATCATCCTGTGATAAAGTAGGACACACAAATCTGAGGGACTTTGGTGATAAAGTACATCAGACTTGCTCTTCCCCAGAGCCCTGGGCCTCTCCTGCCTCTTCCTTTGGCAGGTGTCATCTGAGGTGGCTGGAAAGTGTTGGCTGCCAGACTAGAGTTGCAGAAACCTTAGGTGTACGGGATCAGGAGGGGACTAGAGATAGAAATAGATAGGTAGACAGACCTTCGTCTTTACTTTCTTTTTTCCACCCCTCAGTGGGCCTTTCTCAGTTTCTTGCGTCTTTCTCTTGTACTTCTGTTTCCTGCTGTCTCTCGACTTTGTTTCACCAGTCTCTGGCTTTCTTTCCCTCAGTCTCCTGCTCATTCTCGGTTTCTTTCTCTTCTGCCTTAGTTCGCTCTCCTTTTTCTGTTGCATTCTGTCACTCCCTTTAATCTGACTGTTCCTGTTGCTCTTTTGGTGTCTCTGTCAGTGCCTGTCTCTGTGTCTGCCGCTGTTTGGACATTCTGCCTCTCTGTATCTGTCTCTGGATCTTGTTTGCTCTCTGACCCCTTTGCTCTGTCTGAGCTCCTGTCTGAGTCTTTCTCTTTTCCTAGTGCTTGAATCGTCCATTGTTGCAGTCCGGATGCCTGGACTTTGGGGGCCCCAAGCTTCCTGCCCTCAGTCACAGACCACTCCACTTCCTCAATCCTCTGCAGCTTGTGAGCCTGAGGAAAGCAGGATGCAGGGAAAACAGGAAGGATGTGGACCCCAGAGGTCTGGGCCTCTGGCCTCTCTGCCCTTCCTGCCCCTGGGTATGGAGAGATGAGACAGCAGAAAATATTCTGGGAGAAATGCCAGACTGGCACCCAGCACTGTTGGAGTAGGTGGGGAGGGGTCCTGGGGGGAGTGACTCATTGATCTTGGGAGACCAGGAGTGATGGCTGCATTTTTAGTGGGCATCAGGCAGCAAGTGAGGATGGCCTGTAGTCTCTCTCATCAGTGGACTTGAGCACAAGACAGAAGAAGCCTGTGAGTGTCATCTCCTCTGGTTGGGTGGGAGCATCCCTGCTATGCGGAAGAAAATCTGCTCCCCTAGGGGACTGGAAGGGCATGGCACAAACAGTTTGCAGCTGCTCCATGGACATGAGGCAAGCCAGCCTCAAGAGGAGTCCAGGGATAGGGTGACTTTAGGTCTGTCTTGTAATTTAGAGTCCAGGTCACCCATTCGCCTCACTCTTCCTGACCTTGTCCTCTACCTACGTCAGGGATGCAGCTGTTTGGAGAGGGAAAAGCAGAAGGAGCCTGAAGAAACTAGGTGCTCAATTGGCAAGCTATGCCCAACATTCTCCTAGTCCTCACAGATATACTTAACTTCCTTGTTCTGGCCTGAGCCCCATTGCATCATGGGAAAAGTACCCATAGAGCTGTGCAACAGCCTTGTGAGGTTTCTGGTGAGGTACTGAGCCAGGCTCAGCCCCTATCTTGATACCTTACAATGTCGACCACGGACACTCTAGGTCTCCATGCTTGGGATCTGTAGCCTAGAAATAGTTTGGTGGAAAGTGCTAGTCTGTTTTTTCTGCTCTTTGCTCTTGGGGCTGAGTGTCAGCAGTGACTGGTAGTGGGTGGTCACTTGGCACAGCCTTCCTTATTTACTCTAGGGGCAGATTCACAGCTTTCCCCAACCCCTTGATTTCTAGTTCTTCCTGCCCTTCTTGCTACAGGCTGGGGATCAGTACTGCCAAGGCCACCGGAGGCAGTGGGTGGACATATACGTCAGAAGTCCGTAATTCCACATTGTGGTACTGACCCTCAACTCTTGAAATCTGGGAGAGTGTTCAGTGAGGAGGTCAGGCTTGGGACAGGGAGTTCCTAAGCCAGGCTCTGGGTCCCTCTGGGACAGGGTTAGGGAACAGGCAGGCTGGGTTAATTTTTAGTCGACACAGCAAATATTGTCGTTTCTACTTTAGTACTGGGAATCTGGTCATGTCATGGGAACTGGGCCTTCCCAGAAATTCTGTGCTTTGGGGGAGAGGGAAAGAAGAGCATGGTTGCTTAGCATTTTTCTTTAGTATTGACAAAGCTGGTACCTCAGCTATCAGAAGTCTGTTTAAAGAGACCTGGCAGAGACAAGTCTCCCCTCTTCTCCTCCACTCAGGCAACTTCAATTTCCTTGTCTGTAAACTGCCACACAGTGTTGGGGTGTCTGGCATGGACTAAGAGGTCAATAAATTGAAGTGGTGATGAGGATGGAGATGAAGAAGCAGAGGCTGGGACTTTGGGGACCAGTAGGGTAAGGGAGCAAAGTTGGGGAATGTCATAGGAGGGGGGAGGCATCTGCTGGCTTTGGTCCTTTTTGCTACTGCACACATGGGAAGGACAGGATCTCTGGGCTTGTCTGAGGCCAGCAGCGTGGAGCAAGAGTGAGGGGGCACCCCTTTAGCCAGACCTCAAAGAAAGGACCTGGTACTTGGCATGGGTGGTCATGGAGTCCTCAGACAGAGTCTCGGGGGCTAAAGACAAAAGAGGCATTTCTGATGAGCAGCGGGGTAACCCTCCAGAGCATGACTGAAACTTCTGAGTCTGGGTAGTAAGAGCCACCCAGTTCAGAGCCAAGGATTGGAGGCTGGTCTTGAGGAGAAATCATGGGAGTGAAAGTAGGCAGCAGAACTTTGCAGCCACTGGTACCAGAGCTATACACAGCCTCATTTCCCTGGGGGCTGCTTGCCCTCCTCTGCTGCTGGAGCAAAGAGCAAGGCTTCTGCCATGGTTGGACGACAGACTGCCCAGCTCCAAGCAGGAGCTGGGGGAGTAGACCTGGCCTACCTTGGCAGCTTGACCTTCTAGACAAGCTTCTCAGAGACCTTCTAAGGGGTCTGACTCCAGTTCCTGCTCAGAGGAGACCCAGCTCAGGGGCATTGGGACTTTTGTAGAGGGCATTACAAGGTAAGCAACATTGGAAAGTTAATGTTTTCAAGAGGCCTAAATGCTATTCAACCTTTCCCCCCAGCTCAGTGCCTAGGTGGATTGTAGGGTGAGTCCTCAGCCTGCCAGTTAAGCAAGGATGGACAAGAAAAAGTTACAGATTAAATGGAAAGTCAACAGACTATGGTCAGAGAGACTGGGAAGTCATTGTGCCCTGGCTTGGTCTGTGCCTCTGAGTTGCATGTGGATGTGCATACGTGGACATGTATCTGGACATGTGACTGTTTGTATACTTTTGTGATTCTGTGTGGGTGGGTGGATGGATGTGGACTTTTTTGTTATGTTCCCAGGTAAGTAAGAGCCTACTCTCCCAAACTGGCAGGTTTTATTTACAGTGTAGACATGAACTAGGGATCAATGGGCTAGGCCATGGAGAAACCAGCACTGGGGAGGCCAGGCTGCTGATTCAGCTATGCTCTGAATGTCCCCCTTTGTGACATGGGGCCCTTTAAGTCCAGCAACAGCATAAGCTATGCTTCGAGGCTTGCTCTGTGTCCCATGTAGCCCTAGGTTTCAACGAGCTTTCAACTGCCTTCCTTAATGGTGAAATCTCAAACATGCCTTGGATGAGCCCCTCAGGGCTCCTTATTGTGAACTTCTGCTCACAGAAATGCTACATTGGAAAGCAATGCTGTAGGCAAGCCTCCATGCCATCTTTTTCTGGGCTCTTAGGACTCATGACATCAAGACTCTGATCCTGTAGGGTAGGGTGCTCTCTACCTCCCAAGGTAGCCCCTTTCTTTAAAAAACTCCTGAAAGAAGAAAAAGCCTTAAGTAATACTAGAGCTAGGAGCCAGATGTGGTGGTGTATGCCTATAATACAGTAGTTGGGAGGTAGAGGCAGGAGGATCTGGAGTTCAAAGCCAGCTTTAGCTATATAGCAAATTTGAGGGCAGTCTGGGCTACATGAGACCCTGTCTCAAAACAAAAGTAAATTAAAAAAAAATATTAGGATGAGGGATATAGAGCACTTGTTTGGCATACATAAGACCTTGAGTTTGAGTCCCAGCAAAACACACACACACACAGAGCAAAACACACACACACACACACACACACACACACACACACACACACACACACGAAAACTCTTCCTCACTCCTCAAACTTTGAGCCTAAGAACATTCTTTGCATTTACCGAGAAGAACCTGAGACCCTAAACTAAGCCATGTTTTCCATTGTGACTGTGAACAGACAGCAAACCAGAGGGAGAATAAATGTTGGAAGGATGTACCTGCCGCCAGTCCCGAGTTGTAGCATATGAATCCCATTGATGCCCTCCAGCCTCGCTTAGGTGGAACAAAGGGTCTTGGTTCATACTTCAGTTCAACCTCTGACCTTTCAAAATTTGGTTCTAATTCTTGAAGTCTTTTTCCATTCTCTGTGTACCACAACTCCAGCCTACACCCCTGAAACACTGACCCATCTACAAGCTTGTGGCTTTGTGCGGGTTGAAGACTGGGAGAGAGGGGTTGCTGGTCAGTTAGGTCTTTCTGGCCAAGAGAGGTCCCCTGTAAAATCCTAAGGGAGGGCCTAGATTCTGGATCTTTCTCTGGTTTCTGACTGAGGGACCAGGTGTATCATCTTAGGGTTCCCTTGGTACATTCTTATGCTGCCTGCACTGGTTGGGGTGTGTGGGTATGTGGGTGTGTGTAGTACGTGCGTGTTGCCGTAGCCATCTCCTCTTTAGCTGACTCTGGAGAGCTTGATGTGGGACAGGAGCCCCCTTTGGGCTATCCTCTTGGAAGAATGGGTTGTATCTATCTACTGCATCTATTCCTGTCCTTTAATTCTATGTCAGCATTCCACTCATGACAAAATCTTCCATCCCTAAGTGACTCAGTTTTATTTTGGTATGGAATCTTAATAGGTTTTCTAATAGTCTAGATCCCTCCCTGCCTGGTGTCCCTTTATCTACATGCTTCCTTTCCATTGTCCCCCAAACTAGAAGAATAAAACAAGAACCAGCCCCCAGCTTTGGCTAGGCAGAAAAATACCATTTGACCCAGAGGCAGCTCTGGGAATTTTGCCACGCATGGAGGAACCTGCTAACTCCTCAGGAAAAAAAAAAAAAACCTGACGCAAACCAGATGTAGCCTCCTGTCCGACTGCCAACATTTGGAATGCTGGCAGGGGCCTTTCACTTGGGCCTGAGTTGAGCTGCCAAGCCTGAGCATTTCAGAGGTGGCTCTGATGTGCTGAGAGGTCTAACCTCCCTGTTGAGCTCAGCCTTACATTCTGGCCCTGGCTGCCTGAGGGGAGAAGTATAGTCACAGTGCAGGGCCTTTTGGCTGGTGCAGCTCAGACAGAGCCTTCAGGAGATGATGTGGAGAGTGAGGGTCCAGCCTTGTGACTCTTATCCCAGATGCTCGGTGCCTGGCTCTGAGCGACTCACTTGGGCATTGAATGGGGCTTCAAGTTTAGGGATGGGAGACTTTATATGTGGATGCTAGAGTGGCTGTTTTCTTGGTTCTGGGTCCACACAGGATCACAATCTCTCTCTCTCTCTCTCTCTCTCTCTCTCTCTCTCTCTCTCTCAAAAAAACTCTCACTCTCTCTCTCTCTCTCTCTCTCTCTCTCTCTCTCTCCTCTCGTTTCTCTCTCATTTTCTCATGCAGATGTACACACTAACGGTTACCCAGACAGTGAGAGAGCCTTTGGGGCCAGACTTCTCGCTCATGGAAAATCTGATTCTGGCCCTAGGGATCCCCCTGAAGGCTCAGCCAGACTCTGTAAAGAGACAGGAAGAGTGGGGGGAGGGGGTGAGAGAAGCTGAGAATGGGGAGAAGATCCAGTAGCCCCCCTCCCACCGCCTGCCTCAGACCTCCCTGCAGAGCCCAGGGGACCCTCTTGCCATCTGGGCAGCTGCAGCTGGTGACTCATCTAAAGCCTGGACTGGGTGGAGTGGGGAACAATTCAAGGACTTCAAGAGGAATATTCTTCTGAGGCGATCCAGAGGCGTGGGGTAGAGATGGGGACTGCCCATATCTCTCCCTGCCCCCAGGCTCTCCACTGCTATGGAGACTCCCCAGGGAAGAAGCAGGTGGGAGACTGGTAGGTGTGAAACCCTGTTCTCTGATGCTGACCTCTGCTGTTCTCCGACTGCCTGCAGACAAGGATGAGATTGAGCTTCCCAACAACAGCTTCAGCCCCTGCAGCGCCCATGACCATAGGTGCATGCAGAAGCACCTGGCCAAAATGCGAGACCGGAGTGCCAGCGGGGGCAAGATGAAGGTCATGGGGGCACCCCGGGAGGACGTCCGACCTGTGGTAAGGACCTCTGACCCATAGATCTGCAAGCTTATAGATGGCCCCCTACCACCAGATCTAGGCTATGCTCAGAGCAAACACCGAAGGCTCCTGTGTGTGCAAGACATACCTTGTGTGCCTCCTTGGGAGAATCCTTATTCCTTTTCCACGCAGCACACGCCACTGGCATGGCTGTACTGATTGGTAAAAGCAGGGACCCAAGCATCCTGGTGTTTTGTAGTCCTTCTCTTAAGACCCCCCACCCCAAATCTCAGAAATAAAAGGGTTTAATAAACTGACCATAGCCAAGAGGACTTGGCATCCTACACCAGGATCTGGCTAAAGTCTTTTTTTGAGACAGGGTCTCTCTCTAGCCCCAGCTGGCCTGGAACTCACTAAGTAGACCAGGCTGGCCTCAAACTCACAGAGATCCACTTGCCTGTGCCTCCTGAGTGCTGGGATTAAAGGTGTGTGCTACCGTGCCTGGCTCCTAATGTCTTTTTGAATGGATGGTTCTGATAACCTTATGGGCCTTACTTTACCCCTCCTACTTAGGCCTCCATAGGTTCCCACAGCTCATTCCTTACCAGCTCCCTTCTCAGAAGCCAGTTGATTGATTGATTATTGATTGTGAGACAGGGTCTTTGTAGCCTTGGCTGGCCTAGAACTTCCTATGTAGACCAGGCTGGATTTGAACTTGTAACAATTCTCCTGCCACCAACTCCCAAGTGCTGGGATTATAAGCATGTACCACTCACTAGACCTTCCTTTTTAGAATCTCTTGGCCTGGAAACCCACCAGTGTCACCTCAGTCTGAATTCTTACTTTTAGTTCTTGGGCCCCTGCCCAGTTCCCAGGCCTTCAGCTACCATTTAGCTCTGAGCCCCAGCTTGGTTCTGCCTTTCACTTCTGCTAAGAAGTTTTGTTCTTCTCTCCCCAGCCTCAGGGCTCTTGCCAGAGTGAGCTGCACCGGGCCCTAGAGCGGCTGGCCGCCTCACAGAGCCGCACTCATGAAGACCTCTTCATCATCCCCATCCCCAACTGTGACCGAAATGGCAACTTCCACCCCAAACAGGTGTGTCTCCCCTCTAGCTGCTCAGTCCTGGCCTCAGCATGGGGAAATCCTAGCTCTCCACAGGATGGTCCCAGAGGAAGATCTTAGGATGGGGCAGCTCCCCTAACCCAATCCAACCCTTTGGGTCTCTCTAAGCCCCACCCCAGCCTAAAACCCTCATCCCATCCTATATCTACCTCATTTTGGTAATGAGAGACTTAGACCCAGAATGGAGTAAAAAGGACCTTAGCCAGCCCAAGTCACAGAGTGAGTGACAGAACCTGTCCTACCTCTAGGGCTGTTTCTGTCTCGTCTTGATCCCCTCATCTGTGGTGTAGAGCTCTGTGCCAAGTCCTGTTCCCAATGATCACCCTCAACCTCCTTCTTTCCAAATGCCTGAAGCTTTAGCTGGGCTTAGAGGGCCCAAGTTACGAGACGTCAAGGGGGAAACGGACTAGGATGTCTCCCCGTTTGAGCACAGACCCCCTGGGGGAGCAGCAAGGATGGAGGTGCAGTTGGGTCTGGCAGCCCGAGACAGTCATTTTGGGCCAAAGCAGAGGAGGGAGGGGTCAGGAGAGAAGGCAGAAGGTAACAGCCTCATAGTCACTTACTTCAGAGAGCCCAAGAGGCTGGCATGTTCAGTAGGACCAGCTCTTCCAACTCATCTCCGACTCACCAGGAGGGTGGCATATCTACTACTTTTTAAAAAAAATAATAAAGGAGTTAATATATCAAGAGTAATCTACTACTAATTTTTATTGCAGCAAAAGTTGTGACACAACCGTTTATCCCTAGACCAGTTCCAACACTTGAGCCAACCTTCATCCCGTCTTTGACTGGCTTTGAAATACACTTTTGCCCCTTTCTATCTGCCTAATTCTGATCTATATTTTAGACTGACTTGAATTCTTTTTTTTAAAAAAGTGTTTTATTTATTATTATTTTGTGATTTATTATTTTTATGTGTATGTGTGTCTTGCCTGCATGTAGGTAAGTGCACCTGTGTCATGCAATGCCCATGGAGGACAAGAAGCTTTCAGATCCCCTGGAACTGGAGTATGGACAGTTGTTAGCTGCCATGTGGGTGCTGGGAACTGAACCTGGGCCTTCTGCAAGAGCAGTCAGTTCTCTAAACCACAGAATTATCTCTCCAGCCTTAGTTAAATTATTTTAAACAGACTTAAGTTTTCTTTTTGTCTTGTCCATCTACTTTTATGATGTTGATAATTTTAGGGAAATCTGAAAGTTATTTGTATTACATTATTTATCTCTGTGTGTGTGTACTATATTAGTTTCCATTTACTTAAAAAAGTTCTAAAATCTAAGTTTACACTTATAACTTCTCTGCCCCATTCCTAATAAACCTATATCTCACAGGGTAAGTTTATATCTTTAAATAAATTTTTATTTATTCTTTTTATGTGTATGAATGTATTGCCTGCATGTGTGTAAGTGCATTTGTGCTGTGCAGTGCCCATGGAGTCAGAAGAGGCTGTTGGAGTCCCCTGGAACTGGAGTTATAGACGGTTGTTAGCTGCCAGGTGGATACTGGGAATTGAACCCAGATCCTCTGCAAAAGTAGCCAGTGCTCTTAACCACTGAGCCATCTCTCCAGCCTGTGCTACAGTCAGCTTTGATCAAAGAGGCTTCTTGTAGCAGGCAGTGGTGACTGAAGAGACGCATAACTGGTCAAAGTGCTGCGAATAAATGGACTGT